CTCGCGAGGGGAAGAGGAGGGGCAGGCGCTGATCTCTTCTCCCTGGCGACCCAGGATAGGACCCGTGGGAACAGCAGGAAGCTATGCCAGGGAGGGTTAGGTTGGACCTTAGGAAAAGGTTCTTCACCCAGAGGGTGGTGGAGCACTGGAACAGGCTGCCCCGGGAGGCAGTCACGGTGCCAAGCCTGACAGCATTTAAGAAGCAATAGGACAACGCCCTCAGCCACATGGTGTGAATTTTGGGGCTGTCCTATGCAGGGACAGGAGTTGGACTTGATGATCCTTGTGGGTCCCTTCCAGCTCAGGACATTCTGTGATTCTATGATCTGTAGTCCAGAGCCAAAGCCCTGGCCCAGTGCAGTTCCTTAGCCACTATCTCTGCTAAATGAAATCAAGGGTGAGAACCAGGGCCGTCCGTGGGAGCATTATTGTCAGCTTCATTGTGAAAGGCTTTTACCCACAGCACTGCATCTAGTGGCCTGACCAAGGAGCAGTATGTCATCATCTGTGAATCTGCAGCAATTCAGTGTGATGTCAAAAAACCCACCCAATCATCAAGAAAAAAACAAATCTGGAAGGCAACCAGAAAAATGACAACAGAGGATGATGGACTTGGCTTCTATGCAACATGTCTGTGAAATGCTTCGGTACTGAGCTGCTACCAGGCATCCCACCCAAACTGGAGGCTGTTCAGAAACTGCCCTGGCGAGCCAGTACCTGAGATGAGTTTGTTCCGGCACTGGTCCACCAGATGCTGGCAGTACTGGATTTCTGCCTTCAGGTCCTGCAGTTCAGCATAACCAGACCTGTACTCTTCCTTCAGGTCTTTCAGCTTCATGATGAGTAAAAACTCCTTCTCATCAATTATGATCTGTCCTTTCTCATCAACATACTCTCCTGGAGGGTAAGAAAAGGAAACGAAGGTTTCTCATGAGGGTGGAGAGGGACGAAGAACAGTCATTACACTTCGAACCACATGGTAGTTACCCAGTTATACTGAGGTTAACCACACAATTGACATTTCCTTAGACATGCTTTCTACAAACACAGCGTTGGAGCGGTGTGGGGCAGAAATCACCACTGAACTCCTGAACCCGCTCAGACATCAGTCCTCCCCGAACTGGGACATGTGCAGATGAAGAGGAGGGACCGGGCTCTGCAGAAAGACACCCACATGGCAGCCTGCTGGAGGGTATCACGTAGGGCTTTTATGAAAAACTCCCTGGGCAGCCATCGTAAGGGTTTTTGAGACAAAGGGCTGGTCAGCCCTTTGGGGACAGTTAAGCCAGTGCTGCTTCCCTATGATAAACATCTCTTGTTCTTGGTTTCCCTCAAATCAGTTTATTCCTGTGGTTTCCAGCATCCACAATAAACCACCAGTTGGTAGATGTCATCATAAAGAGCAAAGGCCCAAAAGAAGCAAAGAGTCCATGAAAAGACAGACCCTCACTTCGATACGGATTCAAGCTGATTTGCTCATCGTTTAGCCAGAAGAGCTTTGCGTCTTGCAGGATGAGACCCTATGGGAAAAGGCCCCTTGCAAAGCATGGTCATAAAAGTCTCTCTGTAGGAAGAGAAATGGAAACCAGTAGAGCAGCATTCACTCTGGGTCTGACTCTCTGGTCCTCACCCACTAGTCAGGGCCTGCTTGCCGGTGACCATTCTCTTTCTCTCGCATTCCCTCTTATTTCCCGCTAATTGCCTGGCAATAGTAAAGGCTGTAGCCTCACAGAACCAAATTGTTTTGCTGTCCTCCCTGCGTGCGAGGAACGCCACTGCCACTTCCTCGCCGTCACGCGCAGAGCGCTCTGCTATTAAAACCGTTCGTTTTAGCTTTCTCTCCTCGCCCGGAGGCGTTTCTTCTCTGCTCCTCTGCAGACCACAACAGCACCGACTCTTGGGAGCCCTGCTGCAGGGAGCACAAAACCTGGCACACTTCCTAGTCTCATCCAGGCATATTCCACCTAAAAAACATCTTGCTGCAGCAAAGTAGGAAGGCACTTACCCCATTTTTTCCTCTAGTACCTTGCAGTTTGGAATTTTGACTTTCATAAAGTTGCCCACAGGTTGCCCAGAGAGGTGGTGGATGCCCCATCCCTGGACACATCCAAGGCCAGGCTGGACGGGGCTCTGAGCAACCTGATCCAGTTGAAGATGTCCCTGCTCATGGCAGGGGGGATGGACTGGATGGCCTGGAAAGGTCCCTTCCATCCCAAAGCATTCTGTGATCCTATAAACCAGACCCTAATCTAGATGAAATCAAGCTGTAGGAGATGCAGTACATCAGTAAGGGCTACCCATGGTTTCTGCACTGTACTGACCTACATTTGTCAGGAGTATGCTGCCTGATCCATCAAAGCGTGGGGTGAGGAATCAACCTGACTGCAGCTCACCTCACTAGCGTAAAGCCGGAGCTGCATGACTCAATGAGGCTCAAGTGTGGAGGACTCAGGTGGAAGAACCAGGTGGCAAACCACAAGGCCAGCTGCAGAGCTAGGGCATAAAGCCCGGCCTGCCCTGCTGCCCTGGCAAGCAGCAGTGATGGTCTGGTGGTCTCACCACCACAACTGCTTTGAAACCAGCGGCTCCCCTCTTCTGTCAGATTCTCGCTGGCCAGTCTCCACACAGCGACTTACCCTGCTGCCACCGCTCCTGCTTCTGAGCCTCCAGAGCCTGTTTGATGCCCTCCATCTCACGCTTGATGAAGTTGATCCTCTGTGCTACTGTACTGCTTCTCTTCTTCCTGGCAAGGAGGATGCTTTTGTTCTCTTTAAAGATCCGGCTGATCTCACTTCCGCACTCCTCCTTAAACTGCTCAAATGCCGCTGGTTTGGATGGAGGGGAGCTGCAACAGGGTTCAAAGAAAGCATGGGCAGATGTGGGGAGGTCAGTTTGTTCTGCCTGGCAGCATGCCGCAGTTCGTGGGAGCGGCCATAGCTGAGGTTTGTGGATGGTATTTCAACGGGCTCTTTGAGGATGTCGCTGTGCTAGCTGCGCCCTGGGACCGTCTCTGTGCCAACCTTCATATCCCCTTTCCCCCCGCCCCGTACTACTCCCAGAAGAAAGAGTTATTTACATAAGAAACCACATTCCTCAGGAGATGCCTCAGAATTGAGTCTTCCCTGGAAAGTGGACCTTTAATGGTCTGAATGTTCAGAAAAATAATGAATACTGTTCCTCCCTATTGTTAAACAGGAACGCTTTTGCTCTTTCCTCGCGGGATTCCCAGCACAGACCAGTCACCTCTGCCAACCAAACCCCATAGCTGCATGCGTTGGCTCGCTCTACAACGCTGCCGCCCGTGGCTTTTAAGCCTTGCCTATTTAGAAAGACTGAATTCAAAGTGGCGTGTGTCAGTCCTGACTTTCCTATGAAATGCCTTTGATGCACATGTGCCCCCATGAACACCAGCTCTTACTTCAACACAAACCACGCTGGGCGAAAGGAGAGTCCCTCAGGAGAAGGTCACGCTCCCGCGGATGCTGCTCTGTGCTGCGTGACGTTGTTCTTGGGGAGCAGGCTGGAGCTGGGAGCAGATGGGGGAGCTGGGAGAGGAGCGGCTGGGAGCTGCCCGGCGGGAAAGGGCCTGGGGCTGCTGGGCGACAGCCGCTGAACACGAGGCAGCAGTGGGCCCAGGGGGGCCAGA